TCAAATCATGTTTGGTATCGACTGAAATATAAATTTGAATTTAAATCAAATTTAACAATTAATTTTAATAACATATTTCGTGAAATCCATAACTATTTAACTTTTATCAAAATTTATTAAAAATTTGATTTTATTCTCCATCAAATAGGGTCAAAATCACAATAAATTTTAATTTTTCTCTTTTTTCTTGCATTTTAACAAAATCTTAACTCTTCATCAAATAAGGGCGAAATATTGCATTCTTAATACCATTTCGAAGTGTTCACGGTCTAGTTTTCAACGTCGTTAATGGCGTAAGAAACGATCAATCGTAGCAAATGCTACGACTTGTCAAAGTAAGCCGTTCAAAATTAGTATTTCGAAAATTTCGATAACATGCTAACTTTAAAAAAAATTTGACGATCGCACGCTAATCGAATCTACAAATTTTTTATGTCATCTTAAAGTTTATTTCGAAAACTACATTATAGGCATATTGAATAATTTAAACAGATATCGAAAATAGTTAAAAATGCATTAAACGCGAATTTTAAAAAAAACGCGTTTAACTCGCATTTTCTTTAAAAAAAATTCAATTATTTCACTAATATTATTACTGTTGTAATACAAATTTCTTAATATAATTTTTATCTTTTTATTAGGAAATTTTATATGGAATATGACATAGATTTTTTTCAAAATTTTACATTTGAAAAAGTCACATATTCCATGAAAATTTTCGGATGCAAAATTATATGGGATATGATTTTTTTGGACGTAAATTTTCAATTGTAAAATTTCTCCCAACTTCTTCGCAAGTTCGATTGTACCTCCTAACTTTAAACTTCTACGCCCGCCCCTGTTCTTCCCCTAAGAACTTTGTGAAGTTCCACTGAATATCATCTCCAAAAATTCCCCACTTCTCCAACTTCAAGAACTTGTAAAGTGGGGCAGTATCATAACCATTCACTTCAATCTAATACAAGATAACCACTGAAACATAATCAAGAAAGTGCCATACTAAAATAATGTATCCAATCACCTAACTCTCCCCCAATCCCTGTTTTACATCCAATTTTCTTTCATAAAAAATGGTTTATATAATTTGATAATCCAACAATTAATATAAATACTTTTAAACAAGTGCTATTGTAGACATACTTTTAATTATTTCAAATGGGTGTTTGAGCACTACTGGAATCAGATATGATTAAAGGGAAAAGAGAAAAAGTGCAGACGAATGTTAAAAGCAGGGATGTTCCAATTAGGGATTGTGGGTGCATAAAAAAAAAAAAATTGGGTATAAATATACAACAAATTGGAAGGTTTGGGACCCCAACTATAATTCTGTCTTTTAATAATGACATGAAAATTACTTTAAGAATAAGTAAATTTTATTTAAAAGTTATCCATACATGAATGTTTAGAAATATAAAGTAACTTTTAAGTAACTTCTGCTTTCCTTAATTTCGGCCTACAAACCTTATATCATTTTAAAATTAAAATCCTTCCAAGAGCAAAACATGAGAAAAAAGGGCCCATGTTCAGAAATTCCAATTCCAAGTTATAGATAGATATGGGGAACAAAATTAATCAAGCCACGGAAATAAATATACATTGCTCAAGTTTTCCAGGTAAAATTTCTAAGAAATGTGCGGCGGCTAAAAATGTAGTTGGAAGCCAGGGGTCTGTAAGACCTCATCATGCCAACTCCAATTTGTAAAGACGATGACCACTAAGAATAGTGAAACTTCAAGTAACATTTACTCTACAATTTATCCTCTGCAAACAAGATTACTCGCCATATGGGATGTTTTCCAATGATATCGGCCAGTTTCTCAGTCACTATCACTCCCAGAAATATATCTCCGAATGTCAAAAGGCTTGTACTTTGAAACCGAATCATTCGTGTCAAAATCATTTCCTCCATTCATTGGGGCAAAAGCTGCAAGTTCAATGCAAAGAGAATTACACCCATGATAATAGAGGAGCAATAACACAAAAGGGCTAATCTGGTATTCTGGTTTCAAACTACAAGGATGACTTTCAATACAGCAAACAGGAGTGCAACTTAAAAAACCAAAATTTCTTTAGTTTTGTCCTTGTAAAGTTCATTATTTAAAGATTAAACAAAAGCTGAAAATGACAGGTTAAAATTCAGAATGCAAATCCCTTAACATAATGGAAAGTTCCGTTAAAATTACCTCCATCAAGCCATGCCCAAAAACTATATAATGCAAAAGTAATCACAGAATTCCACCATAGCAAAATACTTTATAAAGAGCAATTTCAATCCAAGAGCAAACAAAAATAACATGTGCAATAAACAAAAAGCTGAATTCAGGTTACTTTACAGTAAACATTGTATATGACTTACACAGTAGTTTAAGGACTCCAACTTTAAGTTCTAAAGGATTGTAAACCAGATGCAGAATTGTAAACAAATTATATAAATGACTTCTAGAACTAAGTAAACTAACCTTTTTCTCTCATTCTTCTCTCTCTGTCATATTCAAATTTATCACGGATTTGACCAACCTTTTCCCAGGTATCATCTCTCCTATTTCTGCCCAAACCTTGATCCTGCAGTCAAAAATTGAAGTCACACTGACATATTGTAAAAGTTAGATTTAACACAGATCCATTTTACACAGCATGCTTCAGCTACTAGTTCAAGGAGACTTTGTGCAATGAATCACCAGAAAAAGCATGTAACTAATACTCCGTAATAGGTGTCAGCTAATAGCAACCTACAGAGAGAGGGAGGGGAGGGAAGGGGAGGAGGGAGATAATAAATACAGAGAGAAGGAAAGGTGAGCAAAAAATATCAAGAGACATAGGATAGGAGGCAAGGAGTGAGATGTAAAAGAACTAGTCCGCCCTGCTCAAAGAAAGGCTTGATTAATGGCAACTTCAACCGAACAGGTTAAAGATTTAGATAATATAACAAATAGAATATTGCGAAAACAGAACTGATATAGATAAATTAATACCATACTGCACATTTACACCTATGGGCTATGGTTACAACTAAGTTGAAAACCGTCTATGGCATATATATTACCACTATTAAAATAAATGAACAAAGTTGAGTACAATGCATGCATGATTACCTTCATTTTCTCAGGTTGGGGTTGCCTTCTCCTGCAACAAAGAGAAATCGCCATTTAGTAGTATAATTTCAGCTTAACAAGGAAACGTTTCCAATTTTGAGAATAGCATCAACAAACAAAAGAAAATGAAAAGGGATGAAAAGAACGAGGTGAAGTTCACTTTAGCAGCGTTCAGTTCTCTAACCACCGAGAGCAAGTATTCATGAAATTAACTTGTTTCTCACGTTAAGAAACACAGTGATCTTTATAGGTGACTAGGAGTACTATCTCAAATAAAAAATTATTAACAACCGATACCTACAACTTGCTAGGAATGGCAACAGGAAAATAAACAAATTGTCAAACCTATATGGATTAAAATCTTCATCATCATCTTCAGCAGAATCGTAATTTGCATGATCTTGAGCAAGCTTCTTGGAATAACCCTCATCCCAGTACAACCTCTCCCAGTTCTCTCTCGTCTCATTATATAGTTCCATATATCTTTTGCACCAAGGTTCATGCTCCTTTCAATTGCAAAAGTAAGATCAATTTAGAAACGACCAAATGAACTTCCGATTTGAAATCCAACTCAAAAATTCAAAAAATCAAATAGAAATCCAAACAACATAAGAAAATGTCAGAAGAACTTGAATCTTTTTCTTTTATATTTTTAAAACGAGAAAATTATTTCTTCAGAGTCCAACTACCTAAAATTAATTTGATTTAAGGCCAATAACAGCTTGTTTCGATGTGACTGTATGCAAGTGATAATAGCATGAGAATCGGCATAGCTTCAAGGAAATTAGATATGCCAAACAAAGATATACCAGACTTTCACCAATCGAGTGGCTTCACATCTACAATCAGATCTACTGGACATGGAGGAGAGGCCTCACTCGGAGTTAACTCGAGAATTTCAAAGCATCGACTCAATGTATCGCGACATAGTAATTCCGAGTTATCACGACACAAGACACAACTGCAGCAGTTCGACTAAGAGCATGGTTCCTCCTCATGAAATGGATTTCAAAAACGAAGATTTGAAGTGGTAATAATTTACTGAGTACTCGGTAAAACTCATGCATTCGCGTACAAACCATTGCAGACGAAGTAACACAGATATCTAGCTAGAAAGTCCATTTCCATAGTAATAACTTCGCAAGTGTGCAGTAAGAAATTCCTACTAAGTGATAACTAAAGGTAATCCAAGTCTATCCACAACATCAAGACTTCAATGATATATCAAATTATAGAATACTGTAACAACTCCAATCAAATCATGATTTCTTAAAGTTTGCTCATTTTTACACTTCCCCAGCTATTTTTTTTTTATATAGAAGAAACAACAATTATAAGCACCAAAGTTCAATAACCCTAATTTCTCAAGTACCCACCTTCTAAATTTACACTGCCCCTGTTTCATATCATTAAATTAAACAAAAACCCTTTCACACAATTACTTGCAACAGGTAAAATCCCGGTATTCATCAACCAAATATCTTAAAAAGGTGCATATAACGTTAAATTTAAAAAAAAGAGAAATTACGGATTCTTTCAGAACGAGGCGCGTGCGACGCATGAACTGTTCGCGGAGCTGCTTGCGCCTCTTGTTGGGAATATTTTCTCTCGGAATCACAAACCGTTCTCTTGGCGGCACGTTCTCTCCTATCTCGTGCATTTCGCCGTCCACCACCCACCACTCAGACTTATCGTCAGTCTTTTTCAGCATAGACGATGGCGAGAATTTGGACCGTCGGCGCCTTGGGCCAGAATCGGCATCGGTTCGGGCAGTTCGGAGTTGGAAGGCGGCAAATTGGAGTTGGCTGAGGCCCCGAGCTCTTCTCGTGAGCGAGAGCATCGGAAATTGCTGCAAAGATGCACTGTTAAGGGGTTCAAAGGTACAAAAAGGGGCACTTGGTTACGACTTACGAGTGGTAGGGTGATTTTGACGATAAATATAATTTTGTAAAGAATATATTTTAAATAGTCATCACAAATATTTGATCACTGAACTGTTGTCCAATGAGTGAATGATCCCAATAATCAATAATTATCAATGCGCTGAACCATGATTCATTCAGGGCTTTGCTAAGTGTACACAGGTTGACGGTGAACCCATGTACACTAGCAAACCCCTTCATTCAGATATCGAGTTTTGATCACTAATTTTTTCAAAGTATTAGACGTTACTCATTAGAATAAATTTCATTTCACAGCTGTAAGGGAATAATTGACGCGTCGACAGATTGCACAGTAGGCGACCAATCATTGAACTATTGCCCAATCACGAAGAATGACGTTTTTGATTGTTCACTAAACTTCGAGTTTTAGCCACTAAACTTTTCAAGCTGACGTTAAGTTGATATGAAAATTTCATAATTATCAAGGCTCATCAAGTGGGGAATGCAATGTCTAATGACAGGTTCTCATTGGCGAGGACTGACTGAGTTAGATGCGCATAAACTTCAAATCGCACTTTATCGTTTGTTTAATTAAAAATCCAATGTTGCATGATAGAACCAAATATATAGATGTCAAATTTCACTTTATAAGAGACGTCTCTTTAAAAGGGTTCTTAAACCGGAAAATGTGGCGACTCAAGCTAAGTAAGTTTAACGACTGCTTAAAATTGCAAACTATGTATTGCTAATCATTGTGAAGGTACCGAGCAATTGAAGTCAGGTAGATGGTAGCCTTCGAGTACTTAGTAAATCAAATCCTTGTATCATGTGGAGTTGTTCGGAATAAGTGGTGCAAGTTATGCAATTGCAATTCTACTTCACACACACGGCGCTAACAGGACCAAATGCACGTCTATCTACTAAGGTGCAACACTTTTTCAAAATTAATAAAATAAAATATTAATTTTGTCGAGCAAACGAAACTTGATCGTATCTTTTAGACGGATGATATCAAATGCTAAAATATCAAACATTAAAACTCAAAAATAATTAATAAATTATTTTGATAGAATTTGGATGAAGAAAGACGTAGAAATGAATTATTTGAAATTGATTTATAGTGAATAAAATAGAATTAACTGATCCAATTTATAGAGTTCAAGGTATCTTTTTCAAATATACACATTTTTGACACAAATTCATTTTAAACATTATATAACATCAATTTATATTGGGACATGATCAATGGTAATTCCAGATTGCACCATATCCAAAAGTCATGACTTTTTATTATGCATCTATTGTACTTGGAGAGTCACTCAATCGTCGCTCCTTTTAGAGATTTATTCTAATTTGTTAGCCCAAGAATAACTAACCAAGAGGGGGGTGAATTGGTTTTTGAAACTTTTTCGAAGAATTAATTTAAATTCAACCAAGTAAAGACTAAATAGA